CTGAATCATCTGTGATAACCTGGTACCCATTCTCCCACAGTAGAGCATAAACTGTAATGGGCTCTAACCAAAGACAAAAGAAACTGACCCAAACAAGCCACTGTTTCTTCCTATTTGGTGAAGACTATCAAATTGGCTAGACTTAAGGGGAGGATATTTTTCAGGCATGAGAACCACAATAAAGAGAATATGGTGTATATTTCTTATTCCATTTCTGATTTAAATAATTTTGAAACAGATACAAAAAAGGATAAACTTGACTTCTAGTCCAAAAAAATATACTCCATCCTAATAAGTAAAAAACTGCATTAACAACTCTTCTTAGATCCACCAGAGAAGTGCAGTCACAGGGAAAGTCACTGAGCCCCAAACTGCACAGACTGACAGGCAAACGCAGTATAGAATCACATCACCACAAGCACAAACCTCCAGGGGAACAAGTGCTGAGTCAGAGAAACCTGGACTATAACTGACGAATGCTGCAGGCTCAGTGGATACGTCTAAGAGAGAAAAACTCCAGGGAATCAGTCATCAGTAGCCCCCACACTTTTGTGAGTTTTACCTCAAGGAACTTGACCAAATTCTCAAAGTGAATATTACTTAAAAATACCCTTGTACTTCTGATGGGGGTATGGTAAAAGGAAACATTTTAAAATATTCCAAAGCATTCTGTTCTTAAGTTTTGCCATCAGGAGAAACTGGTTAACCAGAGCCTAACCACTTAGGCCCAGGAATTTGAGGTTGCTGTCAGCTAGGCTGACACCATGGCACTCTAGCCTAAGAAACACAGTAAGACTTTGTCTCAAAAAAAAAAAAAAAAAAAAAAAAAAAAAAAAAAACAGAATGCAGTGAAACTACTCACAGAATATACAACAACAAGAGTATACTTTAGACTTTGGGTGTAAATGATGTGCCATCATATGTTCATCAGTTGTTAACAATAACAAATACACCACTCTGGTGAGGATGTTGATAATGGGGGAGGCTATGCATGTATATAGGGAAGGTGTATGGGGAACTTTGCATTCTCAGTTTAGTTGTGAATCTAAAACTGCTCTAAAAATTAAAGTCTATTTTTTACAACCTTAAAAAATTTCAAAATGGCTCTTCCTCGTTGTTACCTGCAGAGGTAGCAGCTATCTTGAATTGGAGAAGATTCAAGGGCCAGCTCTTAATGCCCAACACTGGTTATGGGAGCAACAAGAAATCAAAGCATATGCTGTCCAGTGGTTTCTGGAAGTTTCTCATCTACAACATCAAGGTGCTGGAAGTGCTACTGACGCGCAACAAATCTTATTGTGCAGAGATTGCTCACAACATTTCCTCCAAGAACTACAAAGCCACTGCGGAAAGAGCAGCCCAGCCAGCCATCAGAGTTACCAATCCCAATGCCAGGCTGCTCAGTAAAGAAAACGAATAGACAGCTCCCGTGCACATTCTATTTGTATTGAAACAAAACCATAAAAACTGCTGTCTGGCATTTTCCTTAAACAAATTTCTTTTAAATGATAAACTCAGTTCCTATTCCAGGTTAGTGAACAAAGCTAGTTCAGTTTTCAGGCCCTTCCATCCTACTGTATATGTAACTGGTTACTACTAAATATTTGGTCTAGTCTGAAAACATGACACATGTTAACAGGATGGAGTAAAAGAGGTTATCCCTCTTAGGGGACATTCCTCAGGCAGGGGATAACATTATTCATTCATTCATTCAACAATATATTATACCTGTTAAATACTTGGATTATGAAGCCAAAAAAGCTTAAACCACAATCTTGACTCTGCCATCAACTAGATGTGTGAATGCGTTATTCAATCTCTTTGCACCTTGCTTTCCTTGTTGGTAAAATTTTGAGGGCCAACATCATCTATCTCAAAGGGCCGTTGTGAAGATTAAGTGAATTCATATATGCCAAGTGTTTAGAACAGAGCTTGTCACACAGTTCAGTGCTATAAACTATTTGCTAATGAAGGGGTCCAAAGAGTTAGCAAATGTAAAATAAATCTATTTTAAAACACTACATTAGTTACATTTTCAAATAATACATGCTCAGTGTTTTTCCACAGTCAACTGCTTCAGGTGGGAATACCTCTAAATGTAAAACCATGTGTGCAATTGTTGAATATTTTTAAAGCTACTCTAAATACAATATGGAATGTCCCCAAAGTCTGGAAACATAGGAGAAATCAAGTATTTATTTTTCATATTAACAACTGCACTTATTGCTTAAATTTAGAGATACACCACTTGAGAAACTGTCTAGAGATTGGAGAGTAAAGAAAATTGTACTGATGTTATTTCAAATAGTAACTCACTATTTGAAAATAAGTTTCTCTTTTGTTTCCCAACTTTTCTGATTTGTTTTCCCTCCTTTTTTCCCCTTTAATAATTATTAATCACTGAGCATGCGCCATGTGATAGGCACTGTTGGAGATACTGGAGATAGAGGGGAGTGAAGGATAAAAACTTACCTATTGGGTACACTGTACACTATCCTGGTGACAGGCACACTAAAAGCTGACTTCAGTTTTATGCAATTCATTCACATGACAAAAACACTTTTACTCCCTTAATATTGTGAAGTAAAAATTTTAAAAATACAGTACTAAAGTATTCAGGCCAAAATATTTTCAACTTTCGTACATCAAAAGACATCAAGAAAGTAAAAAGAATCTATAGGATAGGAGAAGATATTTGCAAATCACCTCTCTGATAAGGGTCTTGCATCTAAAATATACAAAGAACTTTTAAAATTCAACAATTAAAGACCTCCAGTTAATAATGGGCAAAAGATTTGAATAGACATGTCTCCAAAGACATACAAATTGCTTGCAAGGACATTAAAAGATGCTCAGTATCATTAATCTTTAGGGAAATGTAACTCAAAACCACAATGAGATAGCACTTCACATCCAGTAGACTAGCTATAATCAAAAAAGGGACAATAACCAGCATTGGCAAGGACACAGAGAAATTAGAATCCTCCTACATTACTGGTGGGAATGTAAAATGGTGCAACCACTAAGGAAAGGTTCAGCAGTTCTTCAAAAAGTTAAATGCTGATTAGCTCATGATCTAGCAATTCCATGCCTAAGTATATACCCAAATGAATTGAGCCAGGATTTGAACTGATACTTGCACCCCAACATTCCCTGCAGCACTATTCACAGTAGTACCATACACACTATTCCACTTACATGAAATAACAAGAATAAGCAAATTTAAAGAAATAGGAAGTAAATCAAGGGTAAGAAAGAGGAGTTACTGCTTAGCGGTTACTGAGTTTCTGTTTTGGGGTGATGAAAACAGTTTAGAAATAGATGATGGTGGTGATTGTGCAACATGGTAAATGTAAATTAATGCCACTGAGCTGAACACTTAGAAAGACAAATTTTCTTATGTAAATTTTATTACTATTTTTAAAAATTATAATGTGGGGCCAGGCGCATGGCTCATGCCTATAGTTTGGGAGGCTGAGGCAAGAGGATTGCTTGAGGTCAGCAGTTCAAGACCAGTCTGAGCAACATAGGGAGACACCCAGAAATTTCTACAGAAAATGAAAAATTAACTGGGCATGATGGCACCTCCAAGCTACTTGGGAGGCTGAGGCAGAGGGAGTTTGAGGTGGCACTGAGCTATGATTGTGCTACTGCACTCTATCCTGGGCCACAGAGCAAGACCCTGTCTCAAAGAAAACAAATTATAAAGTTATATACCTAAAACCATATAAATGCACACTTTAAATAGGTGAATTTTATGGTATATGAATTGTATCTCAATAGAGTTATTTTAAAAGAGAAGGGAAGAAATGAGTTCTCAAGGTATGAAAAAACCTGAAGAAATCACAAAGGCATATTTCTAAGTGAAAGAAACCAGTCAGAAAAAGCTACATACTTCATGATTCCAACTTCATGACACTCGGAAAAGGCAAATCTATGGCGACAGTAAAAAGAACAGAAGTCCAGGGAGGGGGGAGGGGTAAAAGCATGAATAAGTGGAGCACAGGGAATTTTTAGAGCAGTGAATGATTCTGTATGATACCAAATGGCAGAACCATGACATGCAAGCATTTTTCAAAACCCACAGAACTGTACAACACAAAGAATGAATCCTAATGTAAAACAGTAACTTTAGTTAGTAATAGTTTATCAATATTTGTTTGTCAATTGTAACAAATGTACCATACTAATGAAAGATGTTATTAATAGCAGAAATTGTCGATGGGTGGGAATGGTTATGTGGGAACTCTGTACTTTCTGCATAATTTTTCTGTAAACCTAAAACTGCCCTAAAAAAGGTCTATTTTTAAAATGCATACTTAACACAGAAACTGCACTGAATTTTATCCTCTTCACATGATTCATAAGACTATTCATTTTAAACACAAATTATAATTTTACAGTAGATGGAGAGGAAGTGCTAATTCTTTTACCACTGTAGAATATCAGGCACTACTGAATCATCTCAATATTCCTGCTTCACCTCCTCTTCCTCCCCCAAAGGAATTATTTCATGACCTAAATTTTTGTATTCATATAACTATTTCCATCTAGTCTTTGAAGATTCCATGGTCTTTGGAAATACTTCCTTAATTTATGACTAAATTCTAGCTTAATTATAATTATGAATTATACCAAATTGCCATACCTCCTGTTTTATTCACTTTTATTCATTTTCTATGAGGTAACACTTTATCAGAAACCTGTGTTAGTTTTATACCTTTTTAAAAAAACTGCTCTCTAAGGCACTGAAGACTCCACCTAGAGGATTAAACTGAAAACTTTAACTGTCCCAAGGGAAAGATACATAGTACCCTGAAGAACAACTGGGAAGAAAGAGCACATCCAGTCCATGCTGGAGACTGTCTCTTCCCAGTTTGCAAAGAAAATTTTAAAAAAAGGAATAATTCTTCCCAGCTCCTGATTTAAAATGACAACCCCCCCCCAAAGAAACTCCTAATCTTTATTGGCACACTGTATAAACTTCTTTGAACTGTTACCTTGGTCTTTTCCAGCTTCATCTATGTGTTGAAAATCTTTTAGTGTTTGAAGGTTACAGAACCCCTCTCTGCAATGCTGGATGACTTTCTTTGATCCATTCTTAATGAGATAATCCATTAGCGTAAGGGATTTATACACATGGCGCCAGTTCTTCCCATGGTCACTCAGTCTCTGCCACAGCATATTCATAATCTCTGAGAGAGAAACTGTATTGAACGTCAAGTCACTGATATCTAACATCAGAGAACTAGAGGGACCCCAAGGGTCGTTCGAAGTTGCTTCCCTGACTTTTACTTCAGCATCTGAGTAATTTTTCACAAAGTTTTTCACTTGTCTCCTGAATGCCATAGGTAAGACAAGTTTGAAGGTGAAGTGGAGGACAAGAGAAATGGAATAGGAGTCTAAGTGACTGGCTTATAAAACTCGTGACAGGTAATTGGTCCCCAGTTCTGCTGCTCCCAAATACAAATGATTAATCTTCATGTCGATAAAATATCAACTTCCTACAAACAAAACACAAGAAAGTATAAGTTAAATATTTTTTAAATCAGTCTGAAGCACCTAGGTTTCTAAATCAGTCCCTCACTTATTTTAGCCAGAATTGAGGGTACGATATAAATGTTCCTAGGATGGGTACAGGAAAATCCCTCACAACGGATTGGCATATGCTATTTAAAGAAATACAGGCGATCTTTCTAGTCTAAAAGTTCCTGTAGAAAATATCATTCAATCTACTCGGTAGAAATATAACATAATGAGTATAAAACATTAACAAGTACAGTAGACAAGTTAGTATAAAATATGGAATCTGCCACTCTGACATCATAAGATACATTGTCATATATACAAATATTATGTCCTAAAAGCCATTAAAATAAGCATAAAAATTGAATCTTAGGGTTCCATGCCTGTAGCTCAGAAGCTAGGGCGCCAGCCACATACAGTGGAGCTGGCAGGTTCGAATCTAGCCCAGGCCTGCCAAAACAACAATGACAACTACAAAAAAAAAAAAAAAAGCCGGGCATTGTGGTAGGCGTCTGTAGTCCCAGATACTTGGGAGGATGAGGCAAGAGAATCACTTAAGCCCAAGAGCTGGAGGTTGCTGTAAGCTGTGATACCATAGCACTCTACCGAGGGCAATATAATGATACTCTATGTCAAAAAATTTGAGTCTTAGAATCATGTGACATGAACAGAGGCTCGTTTAGGTTGATTCAGAAATACATTAAAACTTAAAAGGGCACAAAAATCCTAAAACTTTAAATGATACCTATGAATTATCAATTCACAGGTTATATGAAACCACTCCCTTCCACCTTTTCATTACTTTGCATTAAGGTGGGCCAGTTAGTTTGTTATTTCCCCAGTGATTCATCACCAACGGCCCCCAAGATAATGTACCAAATTGATTTCAAGCCCTGATGAACATGCAGACCCAACAAAGCCTAGACGATCTATAATATTTTATTAGAGAAACTGCACACATACAAGAGAAAAATACTGAAGTCTGTAATAAATGTGTTTGTTATTTTTAGTTTTGTTTCCCTTCTTTGACCTTCTCAGCTACTAGCTCAGGCTTGATTAATTTCTCTCTGTGTTAAAGGAAGACATAAATTTTGAAAAGCATCCTAAACGAACTATCACTTTTTTAAAAAATAAGAGGAGATAATTAACCTCTCTCTTTTTATTTTTTTTGTAAAAATACAACACATCCTCAAATAAGCAAGAGAGAAAATGTGTTGGCTTAATTAAGATTTCTCAGAAAGAGACTATCATGAATAGTAGGGAAAAAAAGAGAAGTTGTATTTCTACAATTTCCTAATTTTCTTGTTTGCAATTCAAATACAGGCATTTTTATCTGACTCCCTCCTGCAACAAAAGTCTGATTTATATTGTTTCAACAAGCCACTAAACTTTTCAATCATGAGGGTTTTCTTTTCTTTCTTTTTTGTTCTTTCTTCCCCTCTGCCAAACCCACTCGAGGCAGAGATGCACTGTGACATTGGCTTAGAGCAGCAAATATTGATCTGTTGCTACACAAGTCTAATAAAAAAAAACATTGTTAGAATCATAACTTGCGCTCTTCCCCTAAGCAGCCTGAGGTGATCTGTGAAAATGGTTTACTATTCACTTGACCCAGAAAACCCCACAAAGTCATGCAAGTCAAGAGGCTCAAATCTTAGTGTTCACTTCAAGAACACACGTGAAACTGCCCAGGCCATCGAGGGTATGCATATACGAAAAGCCACCAAATATATGAGGATGTCACCTTAAAGAAACAGTGTGTACCATTTCAACATTACAATGGTGGAGTTGGTAGCTGTGCCCAGGCCAAACAGTGGGGCTGGACACAAGGTAGTTGGCCCAAAAAGAGTGCTGAATTTTTGCTGCATACGCTTAAAAATGCAGAGAGTAATACTGAACTTAAGGGTTTAGATGTAGATTCTCTGGTCAGCGAGCATATCCAAGTGAACAAAGCACCCAAGATGCACTGCTGAACTTACAGAGCTCATGGTCACATTAACCCATACGTGAGCTCTCCCTGACACATTGAGATGATCCTTACTGAAAAGGAACAGATTGTTCCCAAACCAGAAGAAGTAGCACAGAAGAAAAAGATATCCCAGAAGAAACTGAAGAAACAAAAACTTATGGCACAGGAATAAATGCAAATAACAGTAAAAAAATAATAATTATCATTTGCTGGAATTGAACAATAGACACAAAAATCTTTTTTCTTTTTTGGATTAATATCTATCTATATTTTAGAGGGACAATCCTTATTGTTAGGTTTTCTTATATTCTTTAGTCTACATTTTAAATTTTCTTTTTTTTTTTTTTTTTTTTTTTTTTTTTTTTTAAACAGAGCCTCAAGCTGTCCCCCTGGGTAGAGTGCCGTGGCATTACAGCTCACAGCAACCTCCAACTCCTGGGCTCAAGCGAGTCT